TGAAACATTTTTGTATTCAAATGAGTTTCAGATTTCTTGAACTAAGAAAGCCTCAACTATATTACCCAGGCTGGACTAGATCTTGAAATCCTCCTCAATCAGCTTTCAAATAGCTCAAACTGCGGGCACGTGCCACTGTGCCTGCCTTTAACGCTCTTTATTTCAAATGCTGCCATGCGGGTATTAAAGCTCTCTAAAAGAGGTAACATAAATGATTTGGAAACCGGCGAGCTTTGTTTTTGTTTTGCTTCTCATAAAGGCTTTAATGCAGACTCTCCTCCAGGATGTGAGAGTTCCGATAACCTAGAATCTGAGGCGGGAAGAAAATCCAGCACCGTTGGAAAAGCAGACCCCCCCATTCACCCATATCTGGAAAAGTAGAACTCCTCCCATGTGGTCCTTGTCCGTCCCCAACTGAGCCCCCTTCTCCTATCCTTCGCCTCTCCAGGCCCTATTACCTGTCAGGCTCGTCTGGTAGATCCACGCGCTTCACTGTAGTTCCAGCACCTACACTTCTGGCCCTGTGGACGTGTCCCACAGGAACATAGCCGATGGGGTGTATGGGAAACTCCGGCCTGTCATTATTCAAACACCCATAGCCCCTGAAGGCCCCATCCAAGTGGGTATACCACCTGGTACGGGGGATGCCACTGCGAATATACCCGTAGTAGCCACTGCGAATATAGGCGTCGTAGTTGACGTCCTGCATGGCGAGGGCCAGGCCAGGGCCACCCAAGCCAGGGCAGCCCAGGCCCTCTCCGCCTTCCCCGCCCTACCTGCCCTCTTCCTCTGCTGTTTCTTGCCTCTAAACACTGGAACTTTGAACCAGTTTGAAAACCCCAAATTCAGTACTGTGCCACAGGAGTATCCTACCAGGGATGGTCTGTGGTTCAGCAGCTACCCACCGTTAACTGTCGCCTAGCAACGCCCTAACGAAACTCTGCCTGGTCAGTGCCTTTCCCTGTTCCATTGCTCACAGATTACATCAGTATCAACCCTGCTAAGCACATGGGTGTAAGCCTCAGACGCCAATGACAGTAGCCTAGCCAATAGCTCTC